TCCGTTGTAGTTCACTTTGCATCTCCTTGACCGTGAGCGCGAGCTCCTCTGCGGCCGCTCTCCAGCGCTGTCGCAAACTCGGCGTTGAGCTTCTTCTCCAACTTCTCCTGCTTCTGCTCTGCCACGATGAGCCGCTGGCGCCCTGATGGCCTGGGCGGTGGGGCTGCGCGCTTGGCCAGCGCACCATTTCGCGCCGCCCCTTCCGAGTCGCCAGCCGCTTGAGCCAGACGCTGCAGCCCGATCGCCTTGGACCGAGGTGTCTCTGGGATGGGCCCTGGGGGAGGGGCCTGAGAGGCGCCCCCAGGTCCTTTGCCCTTCCGTGGCTAACCTTTTCCACCCTTCCCTTTCTTCCTCGCTTTGCCGGCACCCTTGCCAGCCTCTTCCTCTCAGCGTAGGCTCGACTCAGGCACCTTGGGCTGGTGGGGGCGGGTTCCGAGCTTCTGGCCGCAGCGCTTGCAGTGCATCGCTCCCTTGGGGTTCTTACGGCAACCGCAGTGGTGGCGCATAATTTCGCCCTTGGGACTCGCCGCGGTCTTCCAGTCATCACTGAACTTGTCATGCTTGCTGTTCCATTCCTCCCGCATTTCGGCCGATCCAGCCCCGACAGGGACGCGCCCCCCCCATCGGCGGGGACGCGCTGCCTGCGCCCGAGGGCGACGCTCCCACTCACCAGTACCAGCGCCGCCCATACCGCTCGAAGCCCTATGTAGGGCGGTATCGTGAAAGACCTGCTCACCCGCGGGCAGCGGGAGGCAGACGCCAAGCTGGGGCAGACCAGCTGGCGTGAAAAAGCTGTCGGACTCAAAGTCCAGCCACTGCCGCGGACGAGCGGTGTCCACTTGGTCCCACGGGGAACCTTGCAACTTGAGCCACAATGGCTATGGAGGAGGAGGAGCGGAATATTAAAAATAATAATAATGATGATGTGAATAATACAGAACCATAATGATAATATTAAGAGTGCGAACCATATTATTATGCATACGAAGAACACGAATAATAATGATATTACGAATAATATTATTAGAAATAAGAATAACACGAACAATAAGAATATCACTAATACTACGAATACCCATGATTATTAAACAACGGATAATAACAGTAATCATAGTAAGACTCAGCATGACCATAACACATGACAACTGATACTACGGTTAAGACATATAAAAATTTGACTGCTAGTAATATTAATAAGACTAACAAGACTAAAATAATAATAATAACATAAATAATAAGAATAGCACTAATTCTAAGAATAAAATGATGATGCTGATGAGGATGATGATGCTGATGCTGCTAGTGCTGATGATGATGATGATGTTTATCATGATGATGATGATGATGATGATGATGATGATGATGATGATGATGATGATGCTGCTGCTGCTGATGATGATGATGATGATGATGATGATGCTGATGCTGATGATGATGATGATGATGATGATGATGATGATGGTGGTGGTGGTGTGATGATGATGATGAGATGATTGATGAGGATGAGGATGATGATGAGGATGAGGATGAGGATGATGATGATGATTGATGATTGATGATGATGATGAGGATGAGAGGATGATGAGGATGATGATGATGATGATGACGATGATTGATGATGATGATGATGATGATGATTGATGATGTGTTGATGATGATTGATGATGATGATGATGATGATGATGATGATGATTGATGAGGATGACGATGAGGATGAGGATGAGGATTGAGGATGAGATGAGGATGAGGAGGATGATGATGAGGAGGAGGAGGAGGAGGAGGAGGAGGAGGAGGGAGGAGGCGGAGGAGCAAAAAGGAGGAGGAGGTGGAGGAGGTGGAGGAGGTGGAGGAGAGGTGGAGAAGGAAGATGAGGAAGAGGAGGAGGAGGGCGAGGACGAGGAGGAGAGCAGGAGGAGGATGGATGAGGAGGAGGAGGTTGGAGGGGTAGGACGTAGGAGGAGGAGGGGAGGAGCGGAGGAGAAGGAGGAGGAGAGAGGACAGGAGGAGGAGGAGGAGGAGGAGGAGGGAGGAGGAGGGCAGGAGGAGGAGGAGGAGGAGGACGAGGAGGAGGAGGAGGAGGAGGAGGAGGAGGAGGAGGAAGAGGAGGAGGAGGAGGAGGAGGAGGAGGGGGGAATAGGAAAAGGAGGAGGAGGATGAGGAAGAAAATTAAGAAGAGGAAGACTAATAACAGTACGCAGCAGAATAATAACAATACGAATATTACCAAGAATAAGAGTAATACTACGACCAAGAAAATACTACTAATAATAAGGAACATACTCATAATCATACAATAATAACATATAAACTCATAGGAATAACAATCATACTAGTAATACGACGAACAACACATTAAAAATAATATTGCTAAGAAGAATACTAGGAATACTAATCATACTCGTCATAAGAAGAATATTACTACTACTACTAATAATAACAGTAGGAAGAAGATTAAGCATCATGAAAAGAAGAACAGTACTACACGTAATACTAGTAAGACTTTTAATAGTACGAATAATAATAATAATAATAATAAGACGAATACCAATACTACTACTAGCCATAAGAGGAATAAGACCAATACACATAATACTACAAATAATAATAATAATACTACTAATAATAGTAATAATACTAATGCTAATACTACTAATAATAATAGTCATCAGAGTAGTACTACTAATAATCATATTATTGAGACTAACACTATTTGCAAGACTAAGAAGAATTTGAATAATAATAATACTACTAATGATAATAATAACAATACTATCAAGAATAATAACAGTAATAATAATAATAATAATAATATTAATATTAATAATAATATTAATAATACTAATAATACTAATAATAATAATAATAATAATAGTAATCATAATAATAATGATGTTATTATTGTTATTAACAATAATAATAATAGTAATAATAATAGTAATAATAATACAAGAAGAAGAATAAAACACGAACACGACGAATAATAATAACCATAATAATGATAAGAGGAGGAGGAGGAGGAGGAGGAGGAGGAGGAGGAGGAGGAGGAGGAGGAGGAGGAAGGAGGGGGAGGAGGGAGGGGGGAGGAGGAGGAGGAATAGGAGGATGGGGGGGGCATCTTGGAGCTTCCTGGTGGCCTTTTGGGGTATCTTGGGGGTCTCCTTGGGCTTCTTTTGGGCTTTTGGGGGCTTCTCGGGGGCCCCTTTGGCCGCCTTGGGGCATTCCTGGCCCGTCTGACGCCGTCGGAAGCCTTCTTGGGGGCCTCTCTGGGCCGACTTGTGGCCTCCTTGGGGTGCTCCAGGGCCATCATGGAAACCATGTTGGGCGTCTTCGAGGCCTCTTGGGCAGTCCTGGGGGCCTCCTGGGGCCGTCTTCGGGTTCTCTTGGGCCGTCCTGGGGCCATCTTGAAAGGCCTCGTGGGCGATCTTGGGGCGATCTTTGGAGGCTCTTGCGCCGTGTCCGGCCGTCGGAGGACCGACGAGAAGCAAATGCTAACATCCTTCAAACACCTAAGAGTAAATCAATGATTTTGGCTTCTTCGTGCCTTCCTGGAGGCCCTCTTGGACGCCTCTTGGGCCCTCTTGGGGCCTCTTGGGGGCCTCTTGGGCCGTCTTGGGCCATCTTGGAGCTATCTTGGGCCGTCTTGATGGCCTCCTGGCTCGTCGGACGCCGTCGGAAGCCGTCTTGAGGGCCTCTCTGGGCCGAGTTGGGGCCCTGTCGGGGTGCTCCAGGGCCGTCTTGGAGGCCATCTTGGGCGTCTTGGAGGCCTCCGCGGCCGTCTTGAGGCCCGCTTGGGGCCGTCTTGGGGGCCTCTTGGGCCGTTCTGGGCCCTTCTGGATGCCCCTTGGGCGATCTTGGGGCGACCTTTGGGGGCTCGTGGGCCGTCTCGGGCCGTCGGAAGGCCCAATAGAAGGAAATGGCCAAATCTTTCGACAACCTCAGGACAGCCAATGATTTTGGCCTCTTCGGGCCTTCTGGAGGACCTTTTTTAGGCATCTGGGGCCGTCTTGGAGACCTCTTGGGGGCCTCTTGGGGTGCTCTGGAGGGAGGAAGAGAGGGAGAAGGAAGGTGGAGGGATGAAGGATGAGGGAGGCGGAGAACGGGAGGGGGCAGCCAGAGGATGGACGGCAGCCGCGCACCGCTCGTTGTTGGAGCGCGCTGGTCTTGGGCCTCGGAAGTTCCCACTGAGGGGCGGCGAGTGCCGCGTCGGCCGCATCATTTCGCCAGGCGGGCAAGCCCGGCTGGCATACTCCGCCGGGCAGCCTCGTGGTTTCCCCTTGCTGCAATCCTCTGGCGATCGCACGGGGGCACCCGCACCCCTGGAGCACGGCGCGTCTTCGAGGCCGTGGGCCCCTCGGGGGCGTTCAGGCTAAGTTCGTGTCTACTTTGGAGGGCTACTGGCGCCAGGCTGTCGCAATCTTTGACCATCGTGGTCCATCGGACCTGCTCTGTTTGGGAGACTGGACTCACGTGCGGAGCGGTCGTCCTGGCTTTCTGCTCGCCCCTTCCAGCGCTCCTCTAGAGGGATGAGCTTTCATGTGCCTCGGCCAGTTCGAAAGTCGAAGAGCCACTATGCCATCATGTCGTCGACTCTGGCCTTCTCCTCCTCCTCCTCCTCCTCCTCGTCTTCTACTCCCACCCCCGCCTCCGCCTCCGCTCCCGCCTCCGCCTCCGCCTCCACCTCCACCTCCGTATCCTCCTCCTCCAACTCCGCCTCCACCCCCGCTGCCACCGCCACCTCCACGTCCACCTCAGCCTCCGCCTCCACCTCCGCCTCCGCCTTCTCTTCCTGCTCCTGCTCCTCCGCCTCCTCCGCCTCCTCCTCCTCCTCCTCTTCCTCCTCCATATCCCGATCGTGCTGGAGATCCTGCTGCGCCCCCCGCCCCGCTTCCGCTCCTGCCGCCCCTGATTCTCCTGCCGCCCCCGCCGCCCTGTCCCTCTGCTGCTTTCTATCTCGGCGCCGCCTCCTGCCGGGGGCCCTCCGCCGCCGCCTCGGCTCGCAGTCGGCGACATCCCGGGCGTGCGCTTCAAGGTCGTGAAGGTTGCAGGCTGCGGCCTGGGCGCCCTGTACCGGGAGAAGAAGGAGAAGCCGCGCTCCTGAGGGCGGCCCCGTCGCCTGCCCGAGTCGGCAGAGGGTTGCCACCACCGCGGGCGCAGGAGGGGGGGGGAAATTCAAGGGGAGGGGGAAGGGGGGGAGGGGGGGAGGGATGCAAGTGGGGAGGTGGAGATGCGGGATGTGGGGATCCTGGAGGTAGAGGCCGCAGCAGGACGAGGGCAGCAAGAAGGAAGAGAAGGAGATCGAGACAGAGGGGGAGGGGGAGGGGGGAGGCGGGGGAGATGACGAGGCACATGATGATGATGCTGCTGCTGATGATGATGATGATGGTGGTGATGATGATGCTGATGACGATGATGATGATGACGATGATGATAACGATGTTGCTGCTGCTGATGATGCTGATTCTGATGATGATGCTGATGCTGATGATGAGGTTGATACTGCTGCTGCTGATGATCATGATCATGATGCTGATGATGCTGATAGTGATGATGATGCTGATGCTGCTGATGACGACGACGATGATGACTATGACGATGATGTTGCTGCTGCTGCTGATTATGATGATGGTGTTGATGCTGATGATGACGATGATAACGCTCCTGCTGGTGCTGATGATGCTGATGTTGCTGTTGCTGCTGCTGCTGATGATGATGCTGATGATGATGATGATGATGATGATGATGATGATGGCGAGGATGTTAATGCTGCTGGTGATGGTGGTGGTGGTGATGGTGATGCTGATGGCAAGGCTGCTGCTGATGATGGTAACCATCAGGACGATGATAATTGATGCTGCTGCTGATGATGATGACGACGTTGAATCTGGCGATGATGCTGCTGCTGATGATTGTGATGACGATGTTGATGCTGCTGCCTATAATGATGATGGTGGTGAGGTTTGGTGCGGTGGTTGTGATAATCGTTGTGAGTGGTGACGGTGATATCGTCGACGCCGACGATACTGATGAAGTTGAGAATGCTGGTGCTGACGATGGTGAGGACGACCATGAGCAGGACGATGATGATTCTGCTGCTGCTGATGATGACGATGACGATGGATGCTATTTCCGATGATGATGGTGATGACCATGACGATGGCGATTGCAACGACGACGACGGCGGCGATGCTAATGCTGATGCTGCTGCTGATGATGATGACTATGGTAAGGACAATGATAATAATGATGATGATATTGATGACGATGATGATGGCGAAGACGATGATGATGATGCTGATGATGATGATGATGATGATGATGATGACGATGACAATGCTGATGATGATGATGGTGGTGGTGGTGATGCTGTTGATGGTGGTTGTGATGATGATGATAGTTGCGGCTATTGTGGTGCTGATGGTCACGGTGTTCATAATGACCGCGACGCTGGCGATGAATATGGTGGTTGTGGTCATCATGATGCGGATGATGTTGATGATTTCGATAACGATGATGATGCTGATGATGATGCTGATGCTGATGATGATAATGCTGATGCTGATGCTGATGCTGCTGATGATGATGATGATGCTGGTGCTGATGATGACGATACCCGACTTTGATGATGATGCTACTGTTGATGATGCTGCTGATGATGATCATGTGGATGATGATGATGATGATGATGATGATGATGATGATGATGATGATGATGATGATGATGATGATGCTGCTGATGATGATGATGATGATGATGATGGTGATGGTGATGGTGATGCTGATGCTGCTGCTGATGATGCTGATGACGACGCCGATAATGACGATGATGGTGATGACGATGGTGATGGTGATGATGATTATGTGATGATGATGATGATGATGATGATGATGATGATGATGATGGTGGTGGTGGTGGTGGTGGTGGTGCTGCTGCTGCTGGTGCTGGTTCTGATGCTGATGATGATGACGGCGACGATGATGATGACGATGATGATGATGCTGACGATGATTCTGATGCAGATATCGATGATGAGTATGCTGATGTTTATGACGAGGTTGCTGGTGATGGTGATGGTGATGGGGTTGGGGATGGTGATGGTGATGGTGCTTGTGGTTGTGATTTTGATTCTGCTGTGGCTGATGCTGCTGTCGATTGTGCTGCTGCTGCTGCTGATGATGATGATGATGATGATCACATGATGCTGATGCTGATGATGATGATGATGGTGGTGAGGAGGAGGAGGCGGAGAGGGCAGAGGAAGCTGACGATCATGATGATGATGGTGATGATCAGGCTGCTGCTGATGATGATTGACATGGGGTAGAGGGAGGAGGTGGCGGATATGTAGAACATGGATGGTGGAGAGGAGGAGCAGGAGGAGGAAGAGGAGGAGCAGGAGGATGAGGATGAGGAAGGCGATGAGTAGCAGGAGGAGGAAGCAGAGGAGCGATATTAGACATGACGAGGAATAGGAGGGGGAGAAGGAGGAGGAGGAGGAGGTG